TGGAAAATAATGAAGCCGTTACAATATGCGTTATATGCCTTAAATCTTGAAGATTATTTATTATGTTGGCTTAATAGCGCATCCAAATGAGCTTGAAATAGCCATGAAAATTCTCGAATTCCAATGGTTTTTAACATTATCAACAAACTCCACAGGAACATGCTTTTGGTTAAGATTGATTTTGAGATTGTCTCCAACTTGGACAAACTCCATAAAAACTTGACTGTACTCAGGCCAATCTCTCCATTTATATTCCAAGCTAACGCTATCAGATGAACTTTGAATATTTCTAAGAACAACATTTTCAAAGCTAATCGATCCACCATCATTTTTCATCGTTGGCCCCATCCAAAAAACATGAAACTGTGGCTCTGCGATAAATTTGATCATATCTTGAATATTGGAACTGAAATAAATTTCAAGCATCAAACTTCCATATCTCTTCTCTCCTTGTACTTTAAACTCAACTTGCTTATTTGATCTAGCAGACTCTGATTCAGTTCCCAGGGCTTTCCCTCCAAATTTTAGTATCGCTTCCATTTCCCTCTCTTTGACAAAATCTATTAACCATTTAAGACTTAAATCATCATATTCCTTATTTATACTACTATAATTATCTACTGAAATTATATTTCCCGACTTATCTTTCATTTTTAACGTAAAAGTATTGATAATTGTAATCTTTCCAAGTCTTGTCATGATTTCTGAATCGATATCAAATAGCACAATTGCATATCCTTTTTCTGCAATAAACTTTTCGATACCTTCTCTCATCCAAGCTGTTACATTGGTTGTTTTATGAAGAAAATTCTCATTGTCTACTAATTTACTCTGTGCCATTCTTGGGAGGGGTTAAGATTTTAAAAAAGACACACGATGTAGTCAGTAGACCATTATCGTTATTAAAGGGAAGTCATTCACAGACAACCAATGCATTGTCAATAAATATTTATTATTGTTTTCATCGAGCAAGGTTAACAATTGTTAAGATTGAACATCAAAAAATTTCATATGTCTTATTTTTCGAATCATTTTTATCCCATAATGAATAAAAAGGATAGCAATAGTATTTAAAATCGCCACATTACCAATTAACTTACCCAAAAAACGCACACTAGCATTGTTAGAATTGCTATCCAAAAAATATCCTTTAAATTACGACATTAAAAGACAAATAGTGCTCCATTTTATTGAAAACGACCAATTTCCAAATGCTACCATGGCATTAGCATTCTTGTGCATAAAATTCAAAAAATTCCAAGATTTTGGGCTTCTTTTATGCATTACCTTTTTACAGAACAATTTCAGCTTCTATTTTAAGGATATGAGCTTTTTTGAAATTATCGAAGATTCTGAAGAGAAGAATTTCCTCAAAACCTTATGCGACAAGCTAGAGCAATATAAATTTATAGTTGATTATGAAAGATTTTTAAGTAGTAATCCAAACAATCAAAGGCCATGCCAGATAAATGAGAGCAATACATTTTCTACCGAGTACAAATACCACAACATTTACATCGATTTGATTCACAATATTAATCAAGGACAAATTGACAAAGCATTAACGCTGTCATTTGAAATTTTCAATGTATCCACGTACTTTGACTCAATTCAATTTATGATTGCTAATGAAAAGGTTGATCTTCTGTTTAACTTATCAATGAAAAATGTATTTTTTGTAAAATATTATAAAGAAGTTATTAAAAAAATCTCCAAAAGCCTTATAAATGTTCTGGAAGTTATTATTTTAACCAAATCTGAAGTATTTGCTGAAGGTTTCATAAACTTATTACAAAAATATACGGATAAGGACAAGTCAAAGTGTACAGAAAAGTATTCAAAGGATGATTTAGATATTTGGTAAGAACCTAAAATGTGTGCGAATGAACATACAACTCAGATCAACAGACAGCTTGACTAAAGATTACACAGTACTTATTTTGCAAGCCAAATTCTCTTTAGTAGAAATTGACTACCTCAGTCCTATTCATTCCAGTCAATATTTACTTCTTCTCCATTAATCAATACAACACCATGCCCACCAAAATAATCTCTCATTGCTTGCAACAAAGTGCCATTTCCTGCTTTCATATTCATCCCGTACAACCACGTAAGACAATTGTTGAAAAGTGGAGAGTAAACATTATTTTCCAGGCAAAACAAGCAAAGCTGCTTCAGAGATGGCAAGCATTCATCTAATATAGCTAAAAAACCATCGGAAATTTCAAAAATATCATTTTTGGATATTTCTCTCAAAACGTCTAAAAATTCACACCGTAAGATACAGCCATTTCTCCAAACATCGCAGATATCAGAAATGGTGTAATTCCAACCATGAACAAGTTTACTATTCATAAGAAGATTAGCACCTTGAATGTAGCAAAGCGCCTTTGCAAGATAGAAGGCCTTCTCAAAAACATCGATATCTACAACATCTCTGTTCTCAGTAGCAGTGCTGAATTTGCTTTGATCAATAATTTTATGGCATGACATATTTTTAACTTTGCTATTAAATTTTACTCGCTTATCTTTTGCATTTGATAAATATCTTGAAAACACAGCTTGTGCTATAAAACTCACATCAAAATCCGTTTCAACCCCAGCAACAACACACATTTTCCCGGTGCCCTTCTGTTCCGCTCTATCATTTATTTGATAAAGAACAATGCCTGAGTCATTACGCGTTCTTAAAATTTTTTCACAAATTTCCACTAAATAGCCGTTGCATCTGCCAACGTGGAGAGACTCAAATATCCTTAATGAAAATTCATGCGATGGAGAAATATTTAAAAGCTCCTGAAGTAGTTGCATCTCACAATACTCAATTCCATTGTGCACAATCTTAACAAAATGACCCGCACCATCATTGCCTAACCACTTGCAACATGGATTGGAATTGTGCTTGGCACTGATACTCTCCAATATGCTCCTAACTTGGCCATATGCGTCTTTTTTACATCCTATCATTAGAGATGGCCCATATCTGGCACCTTGCTCGCCGCCAGACATACCACAGCCGACAAAATTAAATTTATATTGGTGAAATCTTCGTATTGTGTCTTTATAATTGCTATTCCCACAGTCAATTACAATGTCGTTTTCATTTAATAGTTCACTAAGACGTCTCAAATATTCTTCTACAGGGCTACCAGCAGAGACTATTAGCAAAATTTTTCTTGGTGACCGTAATGATGAAACAAATGCATTAAGGTTGTCGAATCCCAGAATTTTAGAAGAAATTTTTTCAATTTCTGCAGTCTTAGATATTGTTCTGTTGAAAACATGCACTGTGTATCCACGATCCACAAGATTTAGAATGAGATTCTTGCCCATTATACCCAGCCCTATAACTCCAACATCTGACATAATGGGCAAGATTTATTTTTTTTTAAACACAAAAACTAGTATAACTTACTTTTAAAGAAAGTACTGAAAAAATAAAAAGAATTTAAAACTAGGTTTTTAATTAATACGCCAAATAATATTTTCTAACTAAAAACCGTCAAAGAGTCCGTCTTCAGATTGTAAGATAAAGTTTGAACACAGCTTTACAAACAAGCAGAACTCATTCAGCCCGAACTTCGATTGGCCTGCACTCCTATCATAAAATATTATTGGCACTTCTGCTATTTTCAGGCCCTTTTTCTCAGCTCTACTGATAGCTTCCATCTGTATGCTGAATCCGCTACAGTTCGACTCAGCAAGTAAGATCTTTAGCACAGAGGTACGATAGCATCTGAAGCTTCCAGTTAAATCTGATGTCTTTAATCCAATCACATACCTTGCTAGATTGTTTGAGAAACGAGATAAGAACCGTCTTACAAATGACCATCTGGACACCATTCCCGATTGGGCATATCTCGTTCCGGTGACAATATCGTATTTCTCAGGAGAATTTGCAAGCTTAAAAAATTGGGTAATGAAAAAAGGATCATGCTGAAGGTCTGCATCAAGAATAATAGTATACTCATACTTGCAGTATTTCAAGCCTTTCAAGTAAGATTTCCCCAGTCCAGATTTGCATCTCTCCTCAATCACCATAACATAAGATAGTCTTAAGTTCTTGACAATCCTAGGAGTCCCATCAGAACTGCCGCCATCCACGACGATAATTAAGAAGGGGACACCAAGGCCTTTCAGTGTCTTGATAAGCATTCCTAGCATTGGAATGATGTTTTCTGCCTCATTATAAGTTGATAGTATGACGTTAATCATTGGGGCAGTAAAAATCATTCCAATATAAATAAAAGCAATATTATTTTAGATAAAAATTTTTCACTATAAATTAGTTCAATAAATTACAGACAAAAATAAAAGCAATTAAATCAGACTTTGTATTTAAAACAGCACAGCACAAATATTAAAGTCTTAAATCAATAAAATTTATCGAACTTGGGGTTTTGTGGCCTTTCGTCTGGTATTATTTCAATCCATCGATACTATCTAGAAATACTAAGAGGTAGAACATTGTAGAATTTTCAATGACAAAACACCGACAATTCTAGTTTATACGCACAGTTTGCAGTCAATTGTTTCGTTATCCGATTCAATCATTACGTATTGATTTTTGTAATGATTTTCTAGAATTAATCAATGAAAGTACATGGAAAACTGATTAGTTAAATCATAGATTAAAAAATAACAGGCTAATAAAAACCTTCTTTTTATTAACATTTATAAATTAAGAAAACGATACTTTATTTAGGCTATTTATTTTTTTACACTATTGTAAAATATGATCCTCCACAAATGATTGTTTTAAATGTGGCTGAAAAACCATCAGTTGCTAATTCCATCAGCAAAATATTAAGCACAAGTTGCAATAAAACCAGGGGAATGCATAAATATTGTCCAAACATATACTTTCAAACCAAATTTAACTCAGAAAATTCACAGATGGTTTTTACCAGTGTGTTGGGTCATCTCTTTGAATTTTCCTTTGAAGACCAAGGAAAATGGAATGAAAGTAATCCGAAAGATCTTTTCAAAGAGGAAATTATTGGGAGAATCAATCCTGAACATAAGCTAGCTGCTGAAAATATAAAAAAGCTATCTGAAAGAGCTTCTCTTGTTGTTATTTGGACAGATTGTGATAGAGAAGGTGAGAACATTGCCAGACAAATAAAGACAATCATTGAAACACACAGGAAAGTGTGTATAAAAAGAGCAAGGTTTAGTGCTATTTCAAGAAACGAAATTGAATGTGCCTTGGAAAATTTGACAGAGATCAATTTTTTAGAGGCAGACGCGGTGGATGCGCGCATTGAACTAGATTTGAGAATAGGATCTGCATTCACACGAATTCAAACCATATCACATAACAATGGCAATGTTATTTCTTTTGGACCGTGCCAGATACCGACACTAAACTTTGTTGTCCAGAGACATATTCAAATTGAAAATTTTATATCTGAAAAATACTTTTCACTTCAAAATACAGTTTTAACAGATCAAAATAGTAAAAAACAAAACGATACCATTAAGAATGTGTTTGCATGGGAAAGAAAGCATTTGTTTGATAAAAACTGTATAATTTACTTCTACAATGTTCTAAGAAATTCAAAAGCAGTCATATCAGACAAAAAAGTTAGCAATAAAGAGAAGTACAGGCCATTGCCACTACGCACTGTGGAATTTCAAAAAATATGCTCATCATTTTACAAAATTGACAGCCACAGACTAATGAGCATTGCCGAAAAACTGTATAATAACGGTTATATTAGTTATCCTAGGACAGAAACGGATTCGTTTCCAAAAAGCTTTGGATTTAAAAACATTATAAACAAGCTGAAAAATGATCCGAGACTTGGAGAGTATGCTAGTAACTTTGCTTTTGTATATCCTCGATCGGGATCCAATAATGACCAGGCACATTCTCCAATTTATCCCTTGAAAGACGGATCCGATCTTCAGGGAGATGAAAGAAAGATATTTGAATTTATTTCAAGAAGATTCCTAGGATGCGTAAGTAAGAACGCAAAGGGAGTAGAAACAGAATATACAATGAATATATTTTTCAATGATGGGCTATCACAGCATGAGACGTTTAAGTGTAAAGGACTTAACATTGTCGAGAGAAACTATTTGGATGTGTACATCTATGATAAGTGGGAATCTAGCCAAGTAGGGGATTTTAGGATAAATGAAGTTGTTGAGAACAATGTAGAGATCATAGAAGGAAACACAACCAAACCTGAGCATTTGACAGAAAGTGATTTAATTTCCCTGATGGATAAGAATGGGATAGGAACAGACGCTACAATACACGAACATATCCATAAAATTCAGACACGAGGATATGTGAAGAAAGAAAAGTTCAAGTTTATCCCTCTGAAGTTAGGGCTTAATCTGATCAAAGCATACAATTCAATAGGATTGCCAATAAGTGAGCCAACACTCAGAAAGAATCTTGAAGAGAACCTTAAGAAAATATGTGAGGGAACTAAAAATAAGAATGAAATAGTCAAGAATGAGATTCAAGAGTATTTGAGAATATACGAGAAGTTAGAAGGGAGTTTGAACATTTATAAGGAAATAATGAGAGACAGCGAAGAGCCGAAGAAACCTGAAGGAGGTAGCATGGAAAAGGACTCAAAGAGAAAGAAGCTTAAATCCAATGAGAATATCGAGCATAAAAAATATCACTCAAGTAGTGTGAAGAAAAAAGCAAAGAGCAATGCCGATGAATACGCTGATGTAAAATTTGATCAGGGAGTAGAAAACACAACGAACATAACCAAGGGAAACAACAAAACAGGAATCAATAAAGAGGATTATTGTATATTAACTGAGACTGAACGGTCTAAGAAGCTGCCAAAAGGACAACAGGAACTTTGTGATTGTGGAAAGGAAGCAAAGCTTCTTGAAGCAAAAAAAGGCGAAAATACTGGGAGGATGTTCTTGACATGCCACTTTTTTCCCAAGAAGTGCAGTTATTTTTGCTGGGAGGATAGCCCCAGGCATGAGCCTGCCAAAGGCAGTGCAACTGAGCGCATAATCAATTGTTTTTGTGGGTACGAAGCACAAAAGAAAATTGCTAATACTGAAAGCAATCGAGGCAGGGAGTTTTACTGCTGTAAGAAAAACTATAAAAAATGTAAATTCTTCCAATGGGTTGATGAGTAAAAACAGCGTATTTTACAAACACAATAAAATACCTTATTTATATATTAAAGAATGAATAAGCACAAGACAAGGCATATCATTAAGTTTATTGAAATACCCTTCTCTTCTGTCAGGACTGCATTAATATTAACCTTGAAGTAGACCACAGTAATATCCTTTTGATCAATACCGTTACTGGCTTTCTGTTTTAATGATAACCTTAATGCTGAGTATAAAGTCAGTAATAAAGAAATACTCCAGTATTAAATCCACCTAGTCCTTTCAATGTCTTTAACGGTGTGTCAATTTACATTCCTCCTTAACATTCCTGAATAGACAAATAAGATATTAATTTTAATTTCTCTCCTTTTGAGACGGTTAACCAGTTCAAACCATATAAAACAATTCAAATTAAGGAGCACATGGGACAGGAAACCATAAACGACATTCCAACAGTAGATTCAAAAGATGTGTCGAAGATGGATGGGGACTCGCAAAGTGGGGAGAAACAGCCGTACGTTGTCTATTTGGATGAGTCAAAAGTAAAGAAGGTAGAAGAAATGAAACTGCGTCAAAGAAGAGAAAAACAGGTATTGTACTTTTCAGCAATCACACTGTCAGTTTGCTTAATTGTCTTTGGATGCACTTATTACAACGATTCAAAATAAAAACTGTAAAGGTAAAAGCATGTCTGTTCATTTTTAAGTAAATCATCTTTTGCTAAAATAACTGGGCTTTGTAACAAAAGCTATTTTAACTATTTTTGATTTAAGTTGCATGAATGGTTCAATGCTTGTAGATTGTTTGTATTTAAAATAATTAGTACTTACAAACAATCTACAAGCATTGAACCATTCATGCAGCTTAAATACCTGTTTTGTTTATGCACCCATGGATGAGCTTGAGAAGAGAATCATTGAGAAGTATGGAACAGAAAAAATTTCACCAGAAGAAATAGATAGGATTCTCAACGATGCTGCAAGAGAAGGCCTTATTGAAAGAAAAGACATTAGACCTCAGCCGCCCATGGATGCTTCAAGCCTGATCGATCATATCTCGTATCTTCGACGTCTATTTTTAATAAATGACGGATTTCATTTGAATTCGGATGAGGATCCGTACGAAAGCCTGTGCTGCAGCGGTGAAAAGACCGACAATTCACAGATCTTAAACAATGTATTGAAAGCCTATTTTGAATATGAAAAGATGTGTGCCACAAAGAAAAAACCCACACGCAAAGCGCCTGCAATATTAGCAGTAATGAGTATATTTTTATTTTTGTTTTTCTCATACACACCAAAACCATATTAAATTCTATATGAAACCTGCTTTATCGTACCTTTATAAATACCCGGACAATAAGTAAAGTACTATTTAGTTTTCACATTCTCTTCTGTTTTTTAGCTGCGAACGAATTTTTTGGGAGATTTTCCAATCGCACTTGTCCATTTTGTTTATGGTGCATCCAATCATCTTCAAAAATGCAACTACCTTGTCTTGTGTTAATAAAAATCGGGGTATCTGTTCAAGATTAATTTCAAAGCCCGACACAATAAGTAGAACAACATAGAACACAATAACATATTTGTCTCTAAGAAGTGCTGGGAGTTTGCCCTTTATAAGATCATCCTTGATGGACGAGTAGAAGAATCGATACTTTCTTAGTAGCCTCTCTCCTATGGTCCTTTCAGAAAGCATCTTAAAGATACAGTCCAAGATTAGCATGTTCCTCTTTTGATCAGGAGTATAAATTGACCTGACAAAGTCCGATAGATCGTTGATATCAACGCGCATGGCTTCAAAACGATCGATCACATCCTTATCAAACATTAAGTCTACAGAATAAGCATCTTTTGGTGACTCAGCTTCTCTGTCAAACGGTGGAATGAGCTGATTTTCAATATTAAAAGTAATAGACTCGTTTGGAAGATAACTGACAAGGCTCCTCTTTGCAACCCTTTCTTTACTCTTATCATCTCCAAAGTCCGTTATTAAATTATTATATAAATGCGTAGCATCGTCTTTCTGCATTGCTTCTTTTTCGAAAATTGTCTCAACTGTAAAGTACTTTGCTGGAATGAGCTCATCTCTTGAAAATGCGCCAAAAGTGTTGTGCTTTGTACAGAAAAACTGAACAGGAGAATTTCTCTCAATGGAAAAGAAGGCTAAATTGTCCACTTGACTTTCTATAACGTCAAGATTATTGCTTTTGGAAACTTTAAACGGTGCTTTTTGATTGTAATTAGAAAGAATAAACATGGGCATGCAAAGAAATGCCCAACAAGACAAGAATACAAAATAGCACAGACAGAAACAAGCTGGAACACAAAACATCAAAGACGTAGAGTTAATCTTATAAAATCCAACGTGCAAGTCGGACAAATCGCTTTTGAAATAATAATTTTAAGTACGTACGTTTCAATTAAAATGTTGCTGTGAGTCGAAAGAGTCAAGCTTTTTTGGATTGACTTTAGCACAGGTTGTTAAAAAACAAAAAGTGACTCTGGCCAAGCAGGGTTAAAACTTTTTTGAACTGATGAAAAGTGAATACGTGATTGACCAGAAATATTCAATAGGCATATTTAAATTGATGCAGGCTAGTTAAATGACCTTTTTTGAAGCGTAACACACAAAAGCATATTAAATAGCCATTTTCTGTCTACTTGCAAAACTTCTTAAAATTTTTATTTCCAAAATCTGCCCTATCCAATGGCAAAAAGAACAAACCACACAAACAGAAACCAGAACAGAAAAGACCACAAGCATGGTATTAAAAAGCCAAAAAGACATGCATTGATTGACACGCCAGGAGTAAATATTGCTAGGCTTAGAAATGCATACTTCAGTAAACTCGGACAGTTAAAAAAAGCTGAATAAATCTAATGCAGTGATATTTTCGGTTACCAACACTTAGTGTCTTAGATTGTTAATATACTCTTTTTTGTATCTGCAACATCGTGTTTATAGCATAGTCGTTTATGTGCCACAGATAAAATCAAGTGCATTTGTCTGTGTGACTGAAATATTAAATTAAAACTGCCACACTACCGACACATTTGCCTTTTCTTAAGACTGATTCTACCCCCCATGCCTTTGATCATCGAGTCCTACGATTGCCCATACACGAAGATTGCATCCCTGTTATTTCCCGAACAAGAGTTCACATACATAGACAAGCCAGTGTCTGAGCCAGCATCAGAACTATTCTGCTACACACGGGCCGAAGATAATCCAGACAAAATCAAGTACTATTTCAACAGAATATACTTTATTGAGAAGGAAAGGATTGTTTGCATCAACAAGGCGTCTCAGAGAATAAAGTTTTATGACATCAACACAGGCAAGTTGATTACTTTTGAACAAAGAACAGAAGATGCGGATGGTGTCAGTAAAATCAAAACTGTCGATAAAACAGATTTTCTTCCACAGCTTCATGCACAAAACGGCGAAATTGTAATATTTCCTGATCAGGAAGAAGATGAAGAATAAAACCCAATGAATAAGAGAAAATAGTCTTTGGAAACAGTTGTTTTCCAAATTTAACGTCCGCATTAAGCAAATCAATCGATTACTCTATCCTTTTATTTTGGTTTTACTTTAAAAATTTTTACCAAAAATTTACCCCAACATGCAAAATCTTGGTCTTCCCGTGTATGCTCCAGAAACATACAAGAAAGATAGAGTTTTTAGACAGTCCAATGGGTATTTTATGTATGTTAAGTGCCACGACTGTGAGGAGCAAACCATTTGCTATTCCCACAGCCAGGCTGATATAAAATGCAAGGGCTGTTCCGGACTGATTCTCAAATCCACAGGAGGAATGGCAAAGCTTGTCAATAAAGCTAGATCAAAAATAGCCGAAAATATTTATTAAATATCAATTCATTCAATCAGCTTTTCATGTTAAAGGTAAAATAGACTTTATGGCTTGAAATACCCGTTTAATTACATAAATGGTATTACAAAATCTCAGACAAGAAATAACTAGATGGATTTCTGTTAGGTGACCAAAATAGTTTATTAATCATCATCCCAGTGTGGATTTGTCTTTGGTTTTACATCGAGTTGATCAACCTTTGCAACTAAATAATCATCAATCTCCATAATAGTGGCTAGAAACTCAAAAGCATACTTCAGACATCTTATTTTGTCTTCAAGAATCGTACTGTCAAACTTCATGTCCTTGATAGCCTTTGATATGCTAAATGTAACTGCATTCTCAGAACCTATAATCTTTGCTGCAACGTCAAAAAAGTCAGGTTTTGAAAAGCTCAGAACTTTGTCGTTGCCGTGCATTTGCAAGTTTTCTAAAAGCAAAAGTATTTTCCTCTCCGTTTCGTCACAGACTTCCCTAATTGAGCTTTTGAGAACTATTGTAGTCACCTGGCCAGGAGCCACAATCTTAGTAAACGCATGCTCAGCATCATGCACAACCTCAACTCTGTTTATAAAGCCTTTCAGCGGTATAGGCCCAAGAGTGTTGTAAATGGCCCCACCAACAAGGTCACACAGCCTTTTCAAATCATATTTATTGAATATTTTTAAAACCAACAAATTTCTAGAATCTGCAAAATCAATAAAAAGATCGTTTACAGTTCCGTTAACAATTAAGACATTTACGTTGAGGGAATCAATCAACTTTTTGGCCATTTCAGCCTCTTCTTTGCTGAAATTTAAAAGCTCTGCAGAATTGTGCATCAAAACTGTACCTTTCAGCTCAGTTCTAGTAATATCAAAAGGACAGTTGAAGATTCCAATAGAAGTGTTAACGGCAGATTTAATACATCCTTCAGGTAACCTGTTAATGAGCATCCCCTCCGATCTATATGAATCATCCAGGGTGCCACTTTGAACCTTACATATTCTTATCTTTTCTGGATCAAAGCTCTGGGTATACTCAATAGCCTCAATGAGAAGATTCGATACTGTCTCATTACCAATAACCCTACAAATATACCTTTTAATATCACTCTGAAGACTACTGTCTAGCCTTAGATTTACCATATCTTGGGCCAAGC